CTGGTGCAAGAAGGGACTTTGAGAGCCCATCCCACATGAAGGGATATACACTCTGGCCCTGGATACATGGGGAAGGGCCCAGGCCCAACACAGGAAGATTTGTTGGACACTCCAGAGCCCCCAATGTGAAACAAGCTTGTTCCCTAACTTGAATTAATAAAAAAAAAGAAAAAAATTAAAAAGAGAGAATAGGCAGGGAAAAAAGAAGTTAGGAGCACTTATTGCTCTTGTAGAGGACCCAGGTTCTCAGCACCAACATATGGCAACTCAAAATGTCTGTAACTCCAGTTCCAGAAGATCCAAAGCCCTCTTCAGGTCTCCAGGGATAGATACTGCATGCATGTGGCACACAGACACACATACAGGCCAAATATCCATGCACATAAAATAAAAATAAATCTTTAAAAGAGGAGCAGAAGACAAAAGCCTGGGTCACTACAGGCCTGTTGCCATATAGATGCTTGTGAACCTATCTCCACACTCACTGCAGCCCACCGACTCCCTGCTATAAACAGACAGGAAGGAACATTTCAGATGCTGTTACAGACATATACATGTGATCCAGGAGATGCAAGGGGAGAAGCCATCAATGCACAAGCATGCCAGGGTTAAAGGGATAAGCAGGAAATGGCTGAGAGCTCAAAGAACTTCAGAAAGTTCCATATGGCTCAGGCATAAAGAGATATGATGCTATGAAGCAGAGATGTGTTAACTGTAATCCTAGCACGTGGGAGGTGTAGGCAGGAGGATCAGGAGTTCAAAGCCAGCCTCGGCCACACAACAAATTCAAGGCTCACTTGAGGATGGGGATATGAGAGAAAATACATTCAACATATACTATGTATATGTACAAAATCTTGAAAAAATAGATTAAAACAGTAGAAATGAAAAAAGAATTTCACTGGCCATCTTATATATTTTTTATGTATTAGGAGACCAGATATAAAATATACCACATAAAAAAGAACACTTGAGGCTCAGCAGCACAGAGACACCCTGTCTCAAAAAACCAAAAGAGAGAAAGAGAAAGGGAGAACTTGTTTCAGTTTCCAGCACCCATATGGCAACTAACAAACCCTGGGCTCTAGTTCTAGGGAATCCGATGTTTCTTCTGACCTCAAAGGCCATCAGGCACGCATGTGGTGCACAGACATACATGCAGGTAAAACAAAATGGTACTTATTGGCCATTTTGTCTTTGTTAAAATTACATGCCTTTAACTGCACAAAAATAAAAAAGAATAAAGAGTACACATGAAGTAGAGGGACATGAGAACAACTTGCAAACCTTCTGCACAATGAAAAATCACATCAGAAGCTTTAACCAAGTCTTAGATGAAAACTGAGTTTAGAGAGAGATTTTTAAAAAGCAGTGAAGGGCAGAGTTGTAGTTCAGCTGATTGAGTGCTTGCCTAACATGCTCAAAACTCCAGGTTCCATTCCCCAAAATGGCATAAACTGGTGCCTATCTGTAATCCCAGCACTGAGGAAGTGAAAATAGGAGTATCAAGAATTCAAGGTCATCCTTGGATATAAGGCAACCTTGAGGCCAGCCTGAAATGACAACAGCCCCCATAGACTCATAAGTTTGAATATTTGGTCTCCAGCTGGAGGCTGTTGGAGGAGTGACTAGGAGGTGTGGCCTTGCTCGAAGAAATGTTTCTGCAGGCAGGCTTTGAGGTTTCAAAAGACTTGCATTTTGAGTTAGCTCTCTTGCTTCCTGCTTACAGATCAAAGTATGAGCTCTTGGCTACTGCTCCAGTGCCATGCCTGCTTGCCTGCTGCCATGCTCCCCATCATAATGGTCATGGATTCTTCTCCCTCTGGAACTGTAAGACTCAAATAAACCCTTCCTTCCATAAATGTCTTGGCCATGGTGTTTTATCATAGCAATGGAAAAGGAACTAATACACATGGCCCTTTTTATATGTATATGTACATGACATATACGCACATGAGGGGTAATAGTGTATGCCCAAGTGCAGAGGCCAGAGGAGTAAGTCAGGTGCCCTGCATTATCCATCTCTACCTTATTCCTTTGGCACAGGGCTCTCAGTGAACCTGGAGCTTGCCAAATTCATCTAGGCTAGCTGGCCAGCAAGCCCCAGCAATCCTCCTGTATCCTGTCACCGCCCCCCCCCAACACACACACACAGTGTTATGGTTATATGCATGTACAGTCATACCTAGATTTTAATGTGGGTGTTGTGGATCAAGTCAGGATGTTTGTTGCCCACTGAGCCATCTCCCCAGCCTGAACACCCCATCTTAACAAGCAAAAAGTCACAATGGACCAAATGAAGTTAGGTCAGGATAAACAAAGCAAGTGTCCTAGTTTTTCTCCAAGAGTCTGGAGTATCCAGGAAAACAGCAGGTAATAGAAAAAACTAACACCTAATACTCTGATGATAGTAAAAGACAGAAAACCTTCCCTTCAGTTCACAAACCCACCAGAATACCTGAAACACCGTGGGAGTCTGGGCCTCTGTGCCCTCCTACCCGAATCTCAAGCAGCAGAGTTGCCTTTAGCACATCCAGCCTTCCTGTTACAAAAACTAGGCTTTGCAATTTAAACAAGAGCATTCAAAAGACCTGCCTCTGAATGTACAGTGATATATGAATGTGGTCCCAGTATTTGGGATGCTGAGACAGGAGGATAGCTTGAACCAAGAACTTCAAGATAAGCCTAAATAGTAAGACAGTAAGACTTCATCTCTTAAGGAAGAAAAAAGACCTGGTTTAAGTAAAGTTTAACAGAGTTACTCTTGTGGCACTGGTATATCTTTTCCTATTATATTCTCTAAAATGAATATAAGTTTCAACTTAGAGCTGTGGGTATGGCTCAGTAGCAGAGGGCTTATTTGGCATACACAAGGCCCAGGGTTTGATCCCCAGTACCATACATACACACACAAAGTTTCAACTTACGCACTTTTTTCTTTGCTTTTGGTTGTTGTTGCTGTTTGTTTGTTTGTTCAAGACAGGGTTTCTCTATGTAGCCCTGACTATCCTGGAACTCAATTGACAGACTAAGCTGGCCTTAAATTCAAAGATCTGCCTGCCTCTGCCTACCGAGTACTGGGATTAAAGGTGTATGCCACCACCGCCAGGCTTAAGCACTTCTTTTTCAAACAGAAAGGTTATTACAGAGTTCTGTAGAATGGTTTTTTGCTGCAAGTACTAAGAGGACTGGTAAGAAGAATGAAGAAACAGACTTCTTCCACCTTCTTGATACTCAGAGACAAATGTTTCTTATAAACTATATAAATAATAATTCTAGGCTTTACAAGTCATTGGATCTTCTCCAACTGTATAGCCATCAGCAATATGCAAAACAAATTGGTTGGGCTGTGTTATAATAACACTTTACTTACAAAATCAAGCTAGGAGCCACATTCAATTCGATAAGTCCTGTAGCAAACAATTTAGTACCTGACTTTCAAAACTAAGTTCACACCTTCACAAAAACAAACCTTATTACATGTTACCCCCAACTAAGGTATGACACCTCCCTTATGTCAAAAACCTGAATAAGAGCTGTCAATATACCTCAATGGCAGAGTTTCCTTGCATGTACCCTTAAATTCCCAGCACTGAAAAACACTTAAACTCATAGCATCAATAAACAAAAGTTTTACCCAGAAATGGAATCTTCTTTGTCCTTGCCCAAGAAATTGCCTGGAGTTTTCCCAAGGTTCCTCGGATTCCAAAGCCTCCAGGCACAAGAATACCACTGAAATTAACACAAGATGAAAGTAAAGTTGATGACCCACTGTCCTGAAGGTACTTTTAATTAATTAGTTACTCTGTGTGTCTGTGGGTCCAGGTTGCCTGTGTATATGGGCAAGTAGTACATGCCACAGCGAGTATGTGAAGGTCAGAGGACATCTTGTAACAGTTGGTTCTCTTCTTCCACTATGTGGGTGCCAAGGATCGAACTCAAGCTATCAGGCTTAGCAGCAAGAACTTTTACCTTCTAAGCCCTCTCACCAACCCACATTACGTTTATTTTTAAAACTTGGGTTTTCATCAGTTATGTTCAATGTTCCCAAACTCAACGCCTGGCACAATCACTAGTGAATGTCTGAGGTCTACTTTTAGAAAAGATTACATAATTAAACATCTTTGAAGCACAACCTTATGGGGACTTATGACAGTTTCTCACAACTGACTTTAATATATATTTTCTGATAGGTCTTGGTGGATTCTAAGATAGCAACTGAGAAATTTAACTCAATAAAAAATACAGACAGTCATGGAAGTACATGCCTATTAACCCAACACTCAGAAGGTAGATGCAAGAGAACTGCTACAAGTTTTAGGCTAGATGACTTGTGGCTAAATAGCAAGAGTCTGTCCCAATAAATCAAAACAAAAACAAAGACTACACTGAGAACTGTGTGTGATGATACATATTTGCAATCCCAGCACTCCAGAGGCTGAGACAGGAGGGTTCAGAGTTCTAGGCCAGCCTGGACTATATAATGAGATCTGTCTCAAAAGATAAAAGAATATAAAATAAAATAATTTTCCAGGCAATGGTGCCACATGACTTTAATTCCAGCACTTAAGAGGCAGAGGCAGGCGGATCTCTGTGAGTTCCAGGCCAGCCTGGTCTACAGAACAAGTTCCAGGACAGCCAGGGCTGTTACACAAAGAAATCCTGTCCGGAAAAACAAACAAAAAGAAAGAAAAAGAATTCTACTCATGGCTGGTAGAAAGGGAAAAAGAGAGAAACATGAATGAATAAATGAATGAATAACAATAGGCTGGGCATTGGTGGTGCACACCTTTAACCCCAGCACTAGGGAGGCAGAGGCAGAGGAATCTCTGTGACTTTGAGGCCAGCCTGCTCTACAGAGTGAGTTCCAGAACACAGAAAAATCCTGTCTCAGAAAAAAACAAAACAAAACAAAAAAATGAGTAAAAATAAAAATAAGTTAAAATCCTTTTGTTGTCGTTAATTTTTTTGTTTTGTTTTGTTTTTTGTTTTTTGAGACAGGGTTTCTCTGTAGCTTTGGAGGCTGTCCTGGAACTGGCTCTGTAGACCAGGCTGGCCTCGAACTCACAGAGATCCACCTGCCTTTGCCTCCCAAGTGCTGGAAATAAAGGTGTGTGCCACCACCACCTGGCCAGTTGTCATTAAATTTTTGAGACAGAAACTCATGGAGTGCAGACCAGTCCCCAATTCACTCTATAGACAAGACTAGACTTGAACTCTGGACCCTCCTACCTCATCGTCCCAAGTGTTGGGATTACAGGTATGTACCATCACACCTAGCTGGGTTCTAAGTACTATATAAAAACTTTCAGCTCTCTTACATCATCAGAAAGACTTAAACTGGGAAAATCACCCTATGGTTTCAATGGCCAATTAAGTAACAGTGAATGAAAATGTCCTGGCTAGAGCAAACACTCAAGCTAAAAAACAATAGTTTGTTTGGATCTATGTGGGTTTGAGGCCAGATTGGTCTACAGAGCAAGTTCCAGGATAGCCAGGACTGTTACACAGAGAAAGCCTGTCTCAAAAAAAAAAATAAATAAATAAGCAAACAAAAAAAATAGTTCAAGGGAAAAATCAGGAAGATCAAAGTAACCTCAAAATACAATGCTGCCCTAGGGTTCTCTCAATGACTTACAGAAAGGAAAAGGGAGGGGAGAAACAGAACATGAGAAGGGCTGGGGATACAGCTCAGTTGTCAGAGTGCTTGTCTAACAGGCAGCCCTGGGATTCGATCCCCAAAGCCTCATAAACCAGGCATGATGACGCATGTCTGTAAGCCCCAAACCTAGGAGGTTGAAACAGAAAGATCAGGAGTTCAAGGTCATCCTGAGCTCCATAGTTACCAGGCCAGTTGGGGCTACACAGGCCCTATTTCAGCAATTAACTAACTAAAATAAAAATAAATTAGCAAACATATGGAATTTTATATATGTAGTAGTCATTACTACATCTTTCAGGAAAATCAGCACCCTTTCCCTCTAATGCAGTCTCCCCACCCTCTTCAAATAAAACCACTTCTACTGTCCATGTCCCCTGAGTTCAAATGTCACACCTGAATGCAATGTGGCATGAATGCTGCACAACCACCTACAAGGACCACAAAGACTCATAACTACAAATGCACAAAAAAATAACAAGTGGAATAATTATAGAGAGAGCGCAATGACATTGTCCTCCTCCTGTGGACAGTCCTTGGTACTCACTCGGCCAAGCACAACTTCTGCCAAGCTTCATGGAATTTCACAGGGTCCTCGGCTTTGGTGACTGGCTCCAGATCAATGGAGTCAATGTACTTAAAAAAAAAACATCAAAAATCCATCAGGTTAAAGGAACATTTATGAAAAATAAGCACTCAAAAATAATACAGCTATCTCTAACAGTTATTCAATAATTGAGAGTTAGCCTAGCTTATTAGTAGCTCACAAGGCCTCACTCTTCCTGAAAGATCTTATAAGGTACGGAGTGAATTGAGGCCAGTCTGGTCAAACTAGCAAAGCTCTATCGAAAAATATAAAATTAAGAGGGTTAGGAATACAGCTTAGTGACACAGCATTTGCCTAGAATACTCAAAGTCCTAGGTTCAATCCTTGTACCACAAAGTGTAAGGGGAGAAGGAGAGGGAGATGGAAAGAGAAAAATAGAAGAGGGAGAGGAAGAAGAAAAAGAAATGACCTGGGCACTGAATCTCTACTGAGCTTCCTAGTAAAGAGCACTTTATACATTATTATAGTTATCACTGGGGACTTCCAGCTGAATTTATGCAGCTTTGTGCTGAAAAGGCCTCTGGTAAGCTTGCACTTGCCTTTCCCCAGATTCTACCCCATAGGACTCTTCCATTTGCCAATATTCTTTTGTATTCTCTGGCTATCATAAATCTTAGACATGGCTAGGACTGTATGTTGAGTCCTGTCAGCCTTCCTGTTCAACTTTCCATACAGTGGTTGAACGTAAAAGCCCTTCATCATAATCTGCCTCTTTGGGAATTTATAAATTGTGTTTATTTGTTTTGCAGGGCTGGGGAAGGAACCTAGGGAGGGCCTTGATCATGCTAAGTAAGCATTCCAGCACTGAGCCACATCGCCAACTGTGATGGTTTGAAGGAGAATGCCCCCCATAGGCACATATGTTTGAATGTTTGGTCCCTAGTTAATGGAACTATTTGAGAAGGATTAGGAGGTGTGGTCTTATTGGAGGAAGTGTGTCACTGGGGATGGGCTTTGAGGTTTCAGAAGCCCACGCCAGGACCAGTGTTCCTCTCTCTGCCTGAAACTTGTGGATAAGATGTAAACTCATAGCTACTTCTCCAGCACCAAGCCTGCCTGCCTACTGCCATGCTCCTGCCATGATGATAATGGACTAACCTTCTGAAACTGTAAGCAAGCTGCCAATTACAAATATAATTGCTTTGGCCATGATGTTTCTTCACAGCATCAGAACAGTAAATTGTGTTTGTTTACTTGTTTTGCAGTGCTGGGAATGGAACCCAGGGCCTTGATTGTGCTAAGTAATCACTCCAACACTGAGCCACAACCCAGTCCAATCTGCCTCTTTAGAATATAAAATACTGGAGTGACAGAACTATCTAGAAGGTCTTGAAAGGTGGTTCAGCAGTTAAGAGCACCCACTGCTGGGTTCCCAGCACCCATATCAAGTGGCTTACAACCACCTGTGTCTCCAGTTCAAGGGAGATCCAATGCCGCTGGCCTCCCTCATGCACTTCCACTCACATGTACACACCCACACATAGACATAGCTACACATACAAATAACTAAAACTAAAATAAAGAAAGAGCTAGAAGGGCAGGCTGGGACTCACCATCAGATTCAACTTGTAGTTGATGGCCAAGGCTGAGTGTTCCAGTGCTTTGAACACAGAGGCATAGCAGTCCCTGAGTTTGGTGTATTTACCAACCAGAGCTATGGAGCATATCTTCTGCAGTCTTTCATACCTGAGAGGGGAAACAAGCTCAAAGTCCATATGTACACTATGAAACATCACAATCAACAATGCAGCCACTGCTCTTATTCCAAGATACTTTTCAGAATCTTAGGAACAGACAAGACACTCTTTACACAAACCTCTCCTCCAACATGCCAAAATCTGGTCACCAAAAAAGATTTCAAAAGCATAAGAAGAGCTGGGGAGATGGCTCAGTGGGTGAAGCACTTGACAAATAAAGATGAGGGCCTGAATTCTTATCTCCAGAAACCATGTAAAAAGGCAGGTGTGGCAATATACCTCTGTAATCCCAGCATTGCTATGAGGAGGTAGGAGGTAGAAACAAGAGACTCCACAGAAATTGTCCTCTGTCCCCACATGCACATGCTAACACAAATGCACTGTGCACACATACACACCCACACACACAAAGATTAAAAAGCAAAGTTTCTTTAGAAATCCCAAGAATCCTCAATGTTGGCTTACATAAGCAGGTATAGATATAAATCTCAGAGTTGATCAGAGGAAAACTTAAAAGTATCAAAACAAAAAATTAAAAAGCTATCTAATAAACACTGAGCTGTTCATAAATTAGTTTATAAAGTAACATTATATAAGAAAATGCAATGTACTTGTTGACAGGAAACATTCCAGTATGTTTGTAAGGTGACATTGTATAAGAAAATGCATTCAAAATTGTTTACATTTAAAATTGTCGCATTCTCAATTGGCGTACTGAAGTCTGGTTATTTGTGACATGTCTGAAGAATGGCACTAAGAACTATTTAAAGTATTACAAGACATTTAGATCATTTTAATGAGAAAATTCCATTCTACAAAAGACATTCAATCACATTTCACAATTATAGAGACAATTTTCAGTGTTGATTTTGTTAGGAAACCTGTCCAGAGAACATGAAAAATACGGTGATCAGATCTTAAGTATGGAGATGACGTTGTAGAGCTTTGAAGCAAGTTCTTGCCCCAAAAACAGAGGTAAATGTTAACATAAGGAAACGGCCCCCTTTCATATCTTCATCTGCAGTGTGAGCAAAAAACAGTATCAAAAACAGATTGGGAGCTGAGGATATGACTTAGTGGATGAAACACTTGAACTCATGTAAATGCAGGATGGGTATAGTGGCCTAGCTGTAATCCCAGGGCAAGGGAAGTAGAGATGGGTTCCCCAGGGCAAGCTGGCTAATCAGACTAGCTGAAGTAGCAAGCTCCAGAATCAGCAAGAGACCTATCTCAATATATAAAGTGGAGATATTGAGGAAAATACCAGATGTCAACCTTGGACCTCCACATGCATGTACATAAACAGCCACCCCCACCGACACAAACAAAGAAAGATAAGAAGAGAGAGAGAGAGAGAGAGAGAGAGAGAGAGAGAGAGAGAGAGAGAGAGAGGCGCAAAATTGCATAGACATATGCAAAAACAAAAACAGGCATGTAGCTTAGTTGGTAGAGTGCCTGCCTACCATGCTAGAAGCCCTTGGTTTGATTATCCTCAGCACCATGTAGAAATGGGCATGGTGACAACACAGCTGTCATCAATCCTAGCACTGAAGAAGTGAAGACAAGATGATCAGAAGTTCAAGATCATCCTCAGCTACAAAGTGAGTTCAAGGACAGCCTACGATACATGAGATTCCACCTCAAAAATAAAAAATAAGCCAGATGTGGTAACACACAGGAGGCAAAGGCAGGCAGAGATCACTATGAGTCTGAATCCTCCCCTGATCTACATATTGAGTTCCAAGCTAGTCAGGCTACACAGTGAGGCACTGCCTCAAAAACATAAAATAAGTTAAAAACACAAAAATAAAACCTAGGCTGGGTGGAGAAAAAAAAGCTAAGAAACTAAAAGTAACAGGAAAGGTAAGACTTCCCAGGAAGATTAATAGATGAAGAACCTGAGGGAAGGCTGTCAAGCCTTTAACTCTGCTTAGTTTTATCTTGCTCTGCAGAATTAACAGCTGTGTGTGGCCAGAAGTGGTAAAGCAATTGCCTAGATGCATGAGGCCCTGGGTTCAATCCCCAATATCACAAAATGATGATGATGATGATGATGATGATGATGATGATGATGATGATGATGATGATTGATTGATTGATTGATTATACTGGTGATGATGAATTCCTGATAACAGAAAGCAAGTTAACCTCAAGCCAGATATCAGAGATGCCACCAGAAGCAGATATTTTGTCCCAAGGTGTGGTCCACCTACATAGTAATTGCAGCTGCCAGTGTACAAGGAGTTAGCTGGACCTCACTTTTTCTCCCCACAAAGAGGAAAGGACATGGCTTTGACCCAAAAGAAGGCACACTAAAGGCAATTATAGGCTCCTCCTTCTATTCACTCATGTCCAGACTTCCTTGACAGAAGTCACAGTGATAGATAGGACAGGTGAGTGCATGAGCCAAACACCCCGGGGTGGGGGCTGCTGTGCTGGCTGGCTGATGTCCTAGCCCATCCGTCATTTCACTTTCTTTCACTTCCAAGATCAACCAAAGGTCCACCTCACATGATTAACACAGCCATCACAGATGTGTGAGGCAGGTTTCTGCTATTACTGTGAGTTGTTGGCAAATGGGAAGGAGAGTCTACTTTACAGGCCCACACATCACAGGCAGGTCCCAAAATGCGAACAGGTATCTCATTTTAGCTTGGGGTGCCATAAAAGAAACACATCCACTTTAACCAGGACTCTTGGCTTCTGAGTGGCAGAGCTTCCAGCTCACCCCTCTGACTCCTTACATGGTTCTACAGATTACAATGAAGAGGTAGCCATTCTACACTGAAGTTATCAATAAACCAATATCACTGCCAAAATGATACAGATATTGCAATCTCCATTTACTATGAAGACTCTGGTAAGCTGTATTGGTCCCCACCAGGTTGGAGATGTACCTCACACAATAAGGCTTGTATGCTTGAAGCCCTGGGTTCGATCCTCAGAGGGAAAAAAAGTTCTCTGGACATGGAGGCTCATGCCTTTAAACTGGGTGTAGCAGCACACAGTTTTAATCCCAACACTCAGAATACAGTGGTGGAGACCTCTGAGTTTGAGGCCTCTCTGGTCTATAGAACGAGTTCCAGGACAGTCAGGGCTACAAAGAGGAACACTGTCTTGGGGGGAAAAACAAACAACAATAAAAAAGAACTTATAAAAATGGCCTTGTCATGCTGGAGAGATAGCTCAGTGGTTAAGAGCACTGCCTACTCTTCCAGAGGTCCTGAGTTCAATTCCCAGAAACCACAGGGTGGCTCACAACCATATGTAATGAGATCTGGTACTCTCTTCTGGCCTGCAGGCACACATGCAGGCAGAACACTGTATACATGATAAATAAATAAATCTCAAAAATAAAATGTTAAACAAATGGCCTTGTCTTTACTGATACAATTAAGGATCTGGGGGAAGGAAAGAGAATCGACTCCTATAAAGTTGTCTTTTTACTGGTGTGCAAGTGTGCATGTGCACAAAATAATGAATGTAATTTTAAAAGAAGAATTTTTAAAAATATATAACTATTGGATGGGAGCTGGGAATGGTGATGGATACCTATATAGCCCCATCACTCTAGAGGAAAAGCAAAAGTTCAAGGCCAAAACAAACAAGCAACAAATCACTGCCAGAGCTAATGGTAATAGCAGACCCAAACTTCCCATTTAAAGGATCCTCTTTAGGAAATGTTAGCTAGATAGTAAATAAAACAAAAACTCTGCAAGACTTACAATTATAAATTAGGCTAGGGATGTGGCTCAACAACAGAGCACTTGCCTAACATGCACAAGGCCCTGAGTTCTGGCCCTAGGACTGAAAAAATAAAAGGGAGGGGTGGGGTAAATATTCAGTAAACAAAAATTAAATTAATATATAAATCAAACAACTTCCAGAATTAAAAATATTACTTTGAGCTGGGCAGTGGTGACCCACACCTTTAATCCCAGCACACAGGAGACAAAGACAGGCAGATCTCTGTGAGTTCAAGGCCAGCCTGGCCTATATATTCCTTTGAGAATCCAAATTCCTTTTACTCACTTGGGTTTAAGTACAGCAAAGTCAACATCTTCAAAAATCTTCCAAGAACACAGAGGAATACTCTAACAACAGATTTAGATACATCCATACCCGAACATACACATATAAAATTGTAAACAGGACATACTGACCCTTTAAAGTAGGTTTTACTTCTACCTACAAGCCCAAGAATTATTAAAAATTACGTAAAGAGGTCAGGGTGATAGCTAAGTCAGTAAAGAACTTGCCACAAAAGCATAAGAAACTCAATTCAAATTCACATAAAGCCAGATGCTATAGTATGTTCATCTGTAATCCTGCAGTCCTAATTTCCTATGTATTTATAAAGACTGAGAAAGTCTGGAAAGAATTGGGAGAAATTTTTTAGAAGTCCTATATATGTTAAAATAATTTTACATAAAAATTCCTTTCACATACCTGTCAGTCATGGCTTTCCACTTGAAAAGCAGATTACTTGAACAATCACTGATGGGCAGGTCCAATCTCTCTTTAAAATATTGAACCACGCCTTGCTCCTCCAAAAGAAGCGGCACTCGGTAGATGGAAGAAACATCATGGATACAGATGACCTGATGGAATAAGACAAACTCAAAAAACAGTTTATACTGAAATAAGAAAACCAAGAAAGCTACATGTTAGGGCACAGGTCTAATTCCAGCTTCCCAGGAAGCTGAGGCAAAAGGACCATAATAAATTCAAGGCCAGCCTCAGATATACAGCAAAATACAGCTTCAGGAAGGAAGGAAGGAAGGAAGGAAGGAAGGAAGGAAGGAAGGAAGGAAGGAAGAAAGGAAGGGAGGAAGGAAGGGAGGGAGGGAGGGAGGGAGGGAAAGGAGAGGGAGAGATGGAGCAGTGATGTTTAGTTTTAATTATCAACTTCTTACAATCTATGATCACCTGGGGAGAGGGTCTCAAATAGCAACTGTCTAGATCAAACTGGCCTTTGAGCATGTCTATCAGGGATTTAATTTTTTAAGACAAAGGTCTCATTATGCAGTCCTGGATGGCTTTGAAATCACTATTAGACCAGGGCTGCTCCCAAATTCACAGAGATCCACCTGCCTCTGCCTATTGAGTGATGGGATTAAAGACATATGCCACCACAACTGGCTTAGAATTTCTTTTTTTTTCTTTTGGTTTTTCAAGACAGGGTTTCTCTGTGTAACAGTCCTGGTTGTCCTGGAATTTGTTCTGTAGACCAGGCTGACTGCCTCTGCCTCCCAAGTGCTGGAATTAAAGGCATGAGCCACCACTACCCAGCCTGGCTTGGAATTTCTTAATTTCATTAACTGACATAAGAAGATCCAGCCTAAAACTGGGTGGCACTAGTCTCTGAGTTTGGGTCCTAGACCATATAAAAGAAGAGAAAGTGAGCTGAGCAGTATGCATGTGTGTATCTCTCGCTGTTCTTGAGTGTGGATGTGATGTGACTAGCTGCTTCAAATTTCTTCTGCCTTAACCTCCCAAAAATGACTGACTATAATGTAACCTAGAACCGTAAGTTAAAAAACCCCTTTTCCCCTAACCTGTTTTTGGCAAGGTATTTTATCACAAGAACAGAAAGGAAACCTAGACAGCTAGATATAGCTCAATTAGTAGACTGCCTGCTTAGCATACATGAGGACCTTGGGTTTCACTATCAGCACCACATAAAACAAAGCATGGTGGCACACACCAGTGATCCTAACACTTGGGAAGTAAGGACAGGAGGATCAGAAGTTGAAGATCATCCTCAGCTACACTGAAAGTTCAAAGTTAGCCTAAACTACATTAAAAAGAACAATCAAAAAAGAAAGAACTGGGAGCGGATGAGATGACCCAACTAGCCACCAAGCCTGGGTTCCATTCCCGGGATCAACATGGTAGAAGGAAAACTGGTTCCCCAGGAGTATCTTCTGACCTCTACACTCAGAAATATACATATACACACAATAAATAAATATTACAAGGTTTTTATTTTTAAAAAGAAAAGAAAGGGGTTGGGGATTTAGCTCAGTAGTAGAGCAAATCTATACTGAACATGTCCATACACTTTTCCCTAGACAATACCATATATTATTTACATCATTTTGACATTGTACTGGGTGTAAGTCATCTAAAGATATAATATTCGGGAGGGTGTCACAGGTTATATACAAGTCCTGCACCTATTTTATTTTTTACATTTCTTGAGAGGGAGAGGGCACACGAGCATGCAGCCCACGTCTGTGGAGATCTGAGGACAACATGCAAGAGTTGGTTTTTTTCCTTCCATCATTATGGGTCATAAGAACTGAACTCAGCTTGTGAGGCTTAGCAGAAAGCACCCAGCCCTGCACCATTGTCTTTTAGGGACTTGAGCACTGGAGGAATCTGATATTCCCATGGAGTCCTAAACTCACCAATCCCTTGCAGATTATGAGAGAGGACTGTACATGCCCCAGTTCCTGGCACAAAGCTTCAAAACACTCTCACATTTCCTGAGTGAAGCAAGTGTCTTTATTATGCAACTGAGATGATTCCTGGTGGTCCTGAGAAAACCTCCAAATAGTCACCAAAAAAACCCAACCAAGTGATTAAAGGACTGCCAACTAATATCTGGGGAGGGAAAGAAGGCTGGGGACTGAGCTCAAACATATGGCCAAATAGTCCATTAACCATGCCTCCATACAAATATTCCAATAAAAACTCTGGAGAAAGAGCTGGAGAAATGGCTCAGTGGTTAAGAACACTGGCTGTTCTTCCAGAGGACCTGAGTTCAATTCCAAGCAACCACATGGCAATTCATAACCATCATGTAACTCTGGTCCCAAGGTCTCTGAGAGACCAAGAACACACATAGTGCACAGGCATACATGCAAACAAAACACCCCAACACGTGAGTGAATGAGTGAATGAATGAATGAATGAATGAATGAATGAATGAGCACCTCTGGAAAAGCCAGGTGTGATGATGCACACCATTAATTCCAGCACGCAGGAGGCAGAAGTAGGCCTGGTCTAGTTTAAGGCCAGACAGGGCTAAATGAAACCCTGCTTGGTTTATTTCGGTTTAGTTTTTTGTTTTTTAAATACCACAGGCTGGTTCAAACATCTAATCCCAGAATTTGGGAAGCAAGAGGATCAAAGCTAGAATCTATTCTATAACCCAGTCAAGGCTACTAAGACCCTGTTTATATATAAAAGCTGGTGGGGTGGGGGGTGTTACTTGGTAAAGGAGCTTAGCACCAAGCCTAACCACCTGAGATGGATCCTCCACATAGGCAGGATGGTACACA